AAGGTTATACTCACATTAATGTAACAGTAACTCATAGTTTTAGACAGTAACTTGTAGATTCGGAGGTGGAGTGCTTTCACCATAGCTATGACGTTATGGTAGTTTAGACAAATTTTGTAAGCTTTAAAAATGCTGACCACTTTGATAAAATATTTGAGAGGTGTCAGGCTGAGAAAATGGTCTCACAGAACTGCATGTGATTCAAAAGAGTTTAAGTCATGCCATTTTTATTCCTGTATACTTTTAGCTGTCTATTTAGCAATTCAAACATCTGAAAACTCGGTATGTTACTTTTGTCTAAAAGAGCTGCTCAGTAAGCATCTCGTTTCATTCGATGTTGAGAACAAATGCTGCTGAAGTTCTTAGATAGATTTCCTTTGATTTCAGAATGTTTTGAACCAAGCCCTGATGTTTGTTCATTCTAAGCCAATTAACAGATAACTGTTTAAAAACAAATTTATCACTTTGACACATTGATCCTCAAAATGAGGATTGCTTTTTGCATCCAGAATTCGCTGTAGGAGTGAGAATTTGCCACTGAATTATTCTTTTAGCATGTTAAAACCAAACTGCCCAGCTATGTTTGGATATAGTATGTAATGTATGCTTTAAGTTCAGCATACATTTCATCCAGAGTCTTATTAAAAATCATGAAAGGATACGATGCTTTTAATTCTGCAGTTTAATAGCTGCAAATTGTTGCCTTGCTATTTGAGGGTAGAGGTGAAGATTTTTCTCTGTTACCATTTCTGTTAATATTGTAATCTCATTCTGAGTCTGCATTTTATAGCTCAGGTCCAGTTCAATTGTAGATTGTAGTCCTGTGTAATTGGGCAAGATCTCACATGGCATCTTTAAAAATGAGATTTCTTTTCTTATTTTTGGGAATTTTTCTTCATCTCAAGAATTAAATATGCAAAGGAGGGACTTTGCACATATTTCAGATATATCGCTATTATTTATTACTTTGAGAAGTTCTGATTAGTCTTTGTAACTTCCTCGTTGGATGAAAATATGGCATCTCTGCAATAAATAGGAAACTCCTCACTACTTGAGTGGTTTCAGGATCTCACCCCCTACGATCTAAAGGGAGCAAAAAACTTTTATTTATTTAGGTCAGACTATGAAAAACAGAAGTCGAATGTTTTACTGGGTCTATGCTCTGAAGACCACTTTCACTTAATTCCTTTCCATATTTCTGTGAAGTTTTTGTTGTTTTGGTTTTCCAAATAACTGGGGACTGGGAAATGCAGTGCTGTGCTGTTGTCCTTTACCCTTATGGTGATGTACCAAGTTATGTAACTATCTAAAGCCTGTCTCCATTTCAGAGTGAAAGCTCCTTCTGTCAGGAGCTGTGTGGATTTTTTCCTAGCTACTGAGCATTTCCAAACGCTTTGACAGCACTGAGTAAATTACACTAATGGACTCGGATGAAAGCGTTCTGCTAGCTTTAATATCTATACTAAAGTAGTCCACTGTTGGTGAGTGATTACTTGTCTGTATGCAGAGAATCCAGGTAATGCAAATAAAACTCAAATTTCACTTAAGTAAATATGGAAATAGGATAAAATAGGAAGAAACTTATGAAAAGTTAGCTGTCTTTCAGAGGTGTTGTCATATGTGCCATGGCTTAAGCTCTGAAGTCAAGTTTTCAATTTGTGTATGTAAAGTTAAGCACATACATAGCCTATGTAGTTCTTTAAGCAGTACAGCAATATTGTCAAATGATAGCTAGAAAGAAGAGGTTCACTTAAAAACACTGCATTGATTGATAGAGTATTATCTTTGCTTTCAACCTGGGAGTGTTTTGGTAGTAGATGATTTTTTTTTTTGCTACAACGTGTTATCATCTTTTTAATCCATTTTATCTATTTTTTATCCATTTTATCCAGTTTTGTACATAGGGTATGTTTTGAAATTCATATCTTAGCATGCAAGCTTCTTTTTCTGTGAACCTGACTACTTATTTACTTCAGAAGGCCATGGAATAATATATTAGCGGCAGGAAAGCAGGGAGAGTGCTGTGAAAATGTAAGTTAGTTCTATAGACTGCAGTATTCTTGTTGACAGACAGTTTGCATACTTCCACGTTCCCCCAAATACCATAACTCTACTTTCATGAACAGTAAAAGAAAAGTGGAAACTGGACTGAGATCCCCTGCTTGGTTAGAGCTTTGTATTATTTTGAGCCAGAGTGGATCTAGCTGCTTACCACAAGTGGTTGTCTTTACTCTTCTAAGTCATTGAGTTCCTAAGTAGACTTCAGTTAAAATATAAACATTTTGCATGCACAGTTCAGCAGTTCCCTAGGTTTTAACTGGAGAAATGACTATTTTTTCCCTTGGAAAACTATCTGAATGAAAACCGTACAGATAGATACTATGTTTTGCAATGGCCCTTCCAGACAGCCATATTAAAATTTTTGGCAAAATTTCCCATGCTCTAATTAATTCATAAAATTAGAAAACCACCCACTGCTATGTGCAGAGGTAGCAGATTATATTAGAGAAAAATAACATTAAAGCAGGCAGTGTACCTGCTTGTTTGCACAGTTGCTTCTTTACCACGTAGAAATGATGTTGACTAAGTGAAGAGAGTATAGTGGAGGTGCCCAATTTTTTTGTCTGAATGGACAATATAGCCTGTTAGGTAGCCACAGGAAGGTTGACAGTCATACCAATCCTCAATTTTTAACTTCACTTCAAGTGCTTACAATACATAATACTAGCTTGTCTAGGGGAAACAAAAATTAACCCTGAATAAGCATACTGTATCTGTGTAATGTTTCTGGGCACTGTTAATGGATGTTGTAACTGTTTCTTGCAGTACTTCCTTTGATTTATGCTTGGTTCTTGTTTTCTGGGAAAGTCTGGATATGAGGGAATATATATTTTGTATTGTTTAATGAGTGGGACAGGTAACCTGTTGTGATGGGCCACAACCTGATGCCAGTAATAATTAGCTGAGAGGCCGAGTATTGCTACGAAGGTATAGTTAGTTCTCCTACAGCAACAAGAAATAGCTGACGCTCTAAGCAGACCTTTTCAGAACTGATAAGGTAGCTGACAAAGAATTGGCTCAAAAGCATAGAGCTGCTTTATTTAAAAAAAAAATACTATTTTGATGATCTGTTTTCTGTTCTGAAGGGGTGTCTCTTCAGCGTTTTCTTTTTGGCACGAATTTTACAAAATGTGCACTAATAGGTGAAAATTTCTTCTTAACATCAAGCCGTATCCCCTTTTACCTCTGCCAGCACCATCTGCCATGTGCTCAGCTGTTCTTGCCATCGTCCCCTGCCCTTCACCCAGACGCCCCCTCACCCTCCAGTGCACTTTGGTACTACTTTTGCCCAGTTGCTTCTGCTGTACCTTGCTCAGATTATTCCCTGAGGTGGGCTCAAGCATCTGCCTCTGTCCCTGGCTGTGTACAACACTGTTCCCTCTCCAGCAAGACTACCTTACCTGTACTTTCCCTGGAGAAAAAGTGCTCCTGCTTCCATGGCCTTTGCTTTTTTTTTTTTTTTTTGGCTTTTTTTTTTTTGCCTAGAAAGAGGCATTGTGCGCAATGTAGCTCTTCTGCTGGCGCTCTCACACCTTTGCCAGGTGACTCTATGGGTAACATCTTACCTTTTATTCCCCTTAGAACCCCTCTACTCAAAGGGCTTGTTTGTACAAAACTGTGTTAGTCTAGTGAAGATGTGCTAGTTTCTCCTTCACAAACATTTCTTCATTTATAGATTAACCATTTTCTTTCTGCTGTCCTTGATTCAATATGGGTGAGCAACAAACCTTTACTAACTTGTGTGTATCGTGATTTCAGGAGGGAAATGGTTTACAGTAGAAATCACGTTTTTTTTTGTCTCAATGTGAATTCGGAGATTCCTGATAGCAAACTTGCCAAGGTTAAGCAACCTCTGTCAGTCCCAGTTTGGGAATACAATACTTTAAAACCCTCCCTTAGAAACAAGTTTTCCAGGCAGGTTACTAGAGAGAGAAGCCTCTATGTGGTAGCCAAACACAGGTTATAGGTTAATCTGAGATGATTCCTGTTGTAGAGAAGTTGAAAAGAGGAAATACACGGGGAAGCTACGGGCTCCCAGGGTTTATAGAATTGCGCTGTAGTGTCTCAGTGCCATGTCCATATGCAGCCATCTCTTTCCAGCTGTATCTTCCTCTGCAGTCCCCAGCAAGAGCCCATGTTTTATCCCTCATAGAGATGCATTCCTATCTTGTGTGGGGGACCTGTTCTCCCATTTCAAGAACCGTTGACCTAAACTCTAGGCTGAGAAACAGTTGCAGATCTACAGGGAGGATTGTTCCCATGAAACACCTTCAATGGTAAAATCTTCCTGTGTATTTCCACAGCTCTCTGGTCTATGCAAAAAATCCTGTTAAGACATTATCTGTACTGCTGATAGTCTGCCCATCTGAAGGAGCATTGACTAATTGAAAGTCATGGACCTTGAGCGTTTGCGCTCTATGTTTAAATCTGTATTTATAAAAGTAGAATATAAAGAAAAACAGTAAGTCAACAGCGTGATGCAATTCTGAGGTGTATGGTCCAGCTTGAAAATACGATTCATTGACGATAATTTCTGGCAGATATTTTTCTACAAGCTGAATGAAAGCTCTATGAACTGCTTGGTTTTATTACTATTTTGTAGTTTGTACGTCATGCTGTATTAGTAAAGGCTAGCATTTTTCACAAGGAAATATTAGTCTCCCTGACCTTTTTCCAAATTGATTAAAAGGTTTTAGCCAGGACAGCTGAAGAGCAACTGCTAGGAATTTGGACATGCGCATACAAATCCTTAATTGGCCAACAGAAGTATTTAAGAATTATTCCTAGGAACTAACATGTCTTGAACTCTGGTATTCTTAGCCTGAGAAACAGATAACATGCAATATTCACTGAGTCATTGTGTCCAATATTGCTTTTCCTTAATAATAGTTTTTAGGAGAGTGAATGCTTTACTTTCACATCTTTGTATCTAATTTTAGCAGGGCAGTGGGCAGAAGGACTTTCAGGCTACCTTCTCAAATGGTGACATCCTGAACATTCAAACTTCAAAATGATCCACCAGTTTTAGTTCAGTTTGGGGGATATTCTCAGGGAGTTCTGATACAGCAGAATGTTGTAAATAGGTAAGGCTGAGAGTTACTATTATTGTGTCAAATATTCTATCTGTATTTAAAAAGATCTCCTATTCTTACTCCCTAAATAAATACACAGGGTCATATGTCAGTGTGAATTTGTGCAACTCCACTGAGTAGATATGAGGGAGAGTGGTTTGTCTTAGTTCAAAGCAGAATTTGTATATTAGCTACAGTCATAAAAGAATCATAATCTGTTCTTTTTATCCTTTTGCATTGATGGAGATTTAAGGATAAAACTATATTTTGAACTGAAAAAAGATCTTGCAGCTCAAGGCTTCTGGTTTTGTTTTCTTACCAAGTGTGACATGTCCAGAATATGATTAAAATATATTATAATTATATGTCTATCTAACTGTCTCTGTCTGTCTCTCTCTGACACATGCACGCGCACACAAGATTTACAACTAATATTTTGGTAATTTTGCTAATTAATGTATTGTCCAATCTTGTGACCAAACTGATTTTACATCAGAAGTCATACTAATGCATGCAATTTACTTTGACTTGAGGAAAGAACCATCTTACACGTGATTAAAAACTGAAATGACAAATCAGAGCCTTTATGTTGTTTAAATGTGCTTTATTGTATATTTTACCGTAATTTAGTAGTGTGTTGGTATGTTTGAGGTCTAGGATTAGATATCTGCATGCCAGTCCAGCTTCAGAAATCTATATTTTGTCATCATGCTTGTTCTAGAGTGAAGACAAATACCACAGAAGGAACTCATCATGCTTCATATAAAGTTATTTTTAAAAACGTTTAGAAACACCATGAACAGCAATGTAAGCTAATCTAAAGCTGGTGTAAGAAACTGTAGTCACACTTAACATTGCAGAAAAGAAATCAAAATATTTTAAAATCAAAATGACTTACACTGTATGTATTTCCCAAGAAAACTCCTAGGTAGGTTTGAGACAGCCTGCCAAAGATGGCCTTTGTCTTCTTGCAGACTTTCCAATAACAGAATGTTGCATGTCTGAAGCCAGTGTAGCATTATATTCAGAACAGTGTTTTACTCCTGCGGGTTTCTTTAATCTTTTAGCCAGTGATTCTTATGGACTTAAGTTGGATTTTAGAAACTTTTAGCATGTGGGATTTTACATCTTGCCATATGTTCCTATACGTAAAAAAAGTTGGAATTTTGTATCAGTAATGTAGGCATTTTATGCGAGTACTTGCTTTAAAAACTGACAATTTAGTTGTTAGCCTGATGTGTCTTTGAAATTGTCATTGGTGTCATGAAACTGACTATGTATTAACAAGTGATTATTGGAAAATTAATTTTAAAAAAAGTGAAAAAATGATCATTAAGGTCATTTCAGTTGTTTCCCATTTGGTACCTTAAAATGCATAATATACCCTGCATGATTTTAAATGTTAAATTATAATATGATTTAAAGTTACCATAAATTCAGTGAGCTTTGTGGAGATGAAAGTTTGAAGTGCTGATCTAATTCAGTGTTAGATATTTTCATGCTCCAAATCTCCCATGCATAAATGACAATAAGAAAGTGAGATAATATGTTCTTTTTCTGAAAATGAATACTGCAAAACAGTTTTTCCCAGAAGCAACACGATAGGATTATAATGAGCGAAGTTTCATATTTATTTCTCTACTGTTTAAATTTTTTCAGGATCTCTTTATAACAATCTCTTTCATATTTTTTAACGCTGATATCTGTCTATTTCAGAATTAATATTTACTACAACCAGAGATTAACATGGTATGACTAAAGCTTTAAATAATTTGGCTTTGATAGCCCCATCATTTTCTGAGAGCTTGGAACGGAATTTGGACTCTACCTCTGTACTATCCTAGATTATAATGCCATCCTTGCCTAATGAGGGAGGTATGCAAGTTATGTATTTTTAATATATCCTATTAATTATTTTGACGTACTTGTACCTCTAAGCCTAAATTAATTAATTGTTTGTAACTGACTAGCTCAGGTGTTGCTTTGTGGTATGGCACTTTTAGTTCGTTTCTATACATTATTTGAGGTATAAGCATGTTATTGATTGTTACAACGTCATATTTTAAAGATAACCATAGAACTCGTCTGACTTTGAGCTCGGAACTACCTTATCAAAGCACAATTAAAAGAAAAGTCAGGAAGAAGAAGAATGGAGTCATCACTGCAAATGTTGCTGGCACAAAATATGAAATTGGTAGGAAACTACATATTTTGTTATCATCATAATAGCCATTGACATGAATGAATTACTAACTAATGGGGTGAATTAATGGACTCTACAACAAGCTGACAGTGAGTCATTTCCAAAGGGTTTTCTTTTCTAAGAAGCCTTTGTTCTTTTTTTTATAACATTTAGTTGATAGTTTTGCACACTGTGCATCTATTATTCCCCGTTTGTTACTCAGGAAAAGACCTTGATATGCAGAAATGTAATTAACTAATCAAGGAAGCTGAAAAAAATCTTAAGTGCGAGTTGCATGTATGTTGGGGAGTTATACTTAAAGCTTTAACAAATGAAAAGTGTAATTTTAATGTTAAGTACAGAGATCTCTTATATAGAGATTTCTTGATTTAAAATCTACTGATGTTTTATGTTTTGATGCTTGGGGCTACTATCATGCTAAGTTTTAGTTTGTCTTTCTGTTGTAGAAGAAATAGCATACAAAACTAGAATGATGTAATTTGGCTTCAGCATTTTAAATAGCGTGTTTATGGAAACAACATTATAATTCAAGCTTTGGTGGAATATGAGAAGAGAATTTGGGAGGTGGGACCACTACTGACTCTTGGTTAACAGCAAACAATGGCACTAAATATATGCTTCTATTCAACCTGTAACCTAAACAGCAAGTTTGTTCTGATAGCTGTCCAAAAAGAAGAAGACAAAAAAAACCCCAAATGGTTCAGTGTCAAGGCATGAAGCTTTTCCTTCTCAATGGAACAGTTATTAGTGCCTGAAGAATAACACTTCATTCAGCTTTATCTCCTTCCAACTATGTAAATGGTTCAAGGAGTTTTCCAGAGAAGTCAGAGCTAAAAATTATTTCTGAGACTTGTAGTGGCATCTGTGAAGCTTTGATATGGACCGTGTAGATGGGAAGCAGATCCAGGATTTCTCTTTGGCTCCAGTTTTGAACCAGAAGTAGTGACAAATTTTCAAACTCCAAACATAGAATATTGAAACTGACCTTGCTGGCTTTTACCAGGTGGGGAAGATGCAAAATCCAGATATGTGTCTTCTCTGGGGAGAAGTATCAGAACAAATTCATTATGCAGATAACAGAATGGATAGTTTAAGGTAGAAGAATATAGCTGTTTTACGAGTTCTCTTGCTTATGTTCAAATGCAGGCATGCATTTGCTCTTGTAACTACTGTACCATGACTTGAAAAGCCTTCTTTTTTCCTATCTGCAGTGACATTTACATTCACCACTGTTTTAAAATTAAAATGTATGATAGCTAAGTCTTAAAGCCATTCAAGTGCAAGTGGACTCTGACTAAATCGTTGTGGAATGCCTTGGAACTCTTTACCGTTCCTATTAGTGGTTGCACTGTGCTTCCAGCCTCAGTAAAAGGTCCTGTAGGGATGGAATTGCAGTAGACTGATGGGAATAGCCATCCAATTTAGATAATAACTTGCATGTTAATGTTGTTCACTGGGAAAGGGTTGAACACTGGAAAAATTCAAAATATTAAATAATTATTTTTTTAATTTTGAATATCTCTTAGATATTCAGAATATTGCTAAAGTATGTAATTTCTTTCTAGTACGTGTAGTAATACGAGAAATGGGATTTGTGAAAACGCGCGATGAAGATGAAACAGCGAATCTTATTTGGAGTGATTGTGCTGTGCAACAGGAAAAGATTGCTGAACTTCGGAACTACCAGGTAGAGCGGGAGATGGCGTTTCTGAATGGCCAGTGAACTGTTTCATTCTGAAAGGTTCCTTAATGTGTCGCTCTTGGTCAGTTACATCTGTATGGAGAGAAAACATAAAACAAAGCAAAAACAACCAGACTGCAGCAAAGCCAACTACATATTTTTAAATCCTATTTTCTTTTCCAGAGTTACTTGTTCATACCGTTTGGAATCTGATGTTTAAATATTTGGGGCTGTTCTTTCATGCTTTGATCTGCCATTTGGGTGTTGTGAATGATCAAAGAGTTTGAAAGAAGTTGCAAAACATCATTTATAAGTTGCTCGTAAGCTTTTAAGCAGTAAGTTAAGCAGAGCCTCTCTCCGTAGCCTTTGTGAATAAATAATTCCTTTTTTGCCATTACTTTGTGATGATGCTCTTTGTTCCTAGATAACTTTTTGCGTAAAAGAATGATAGGTCCTCCTTTCATATGAAGGGAAATCAATGGGAATACTCAGGTGAAAATCTGTTGAGGGAGGAGAGCACAATTTGTAGTATCTTTGGTAGCGTTCTGAATACCCAGGATAACGTAAGATATGCTCTTGGATGATTTATGTGTAGTATTAACTATGTTTATGTAGGTATGTAGTTGAATGTTTTAAATGAGTGCTTATAATAATTACGGCAGGAAAAGGGAAAAGTTCAACTTCCTCTCATTTTTCTCTCCTACCTTAGAGAATCAACCATTTTCCAGGAATGGGAGAGATCTGCAGAAAGGACTTCCTGGCAAGAAACATGACAAAGTAATCTTTTTCTTTTAATATTAAGAAGTTTTTCAGCCATGTTATTTAATGCAATTCAATACTGATTTACCACTTGTGGAGTTTGTTTAATTTTTACTGAGAGGCTATGACAGAACCGAGGATAGTTTCTAGGGTTCCTTAATAATTTTGGCTTTGGTCTTGGGTCTGTAGCATCTGAGTAGACTACTGTATCTCTCCCATTGACTTCCGTGGAAAATAACGTGAGTTCAGGTCTCTTTCTGCATGCTGCAGAATGCCGGATAGGGCTTTAAATTATTAGATAGTATCTGTAATACATAATACACTCAGGCGGATATCATGTAATGGTAGAGCAGGAGAAATGACTAATACCTCTGTGGATATTATCCATTTAAAGTAATTAGTGATTGTATTTTTGTATATATCAAATGCAAAAATGTGAAATATCTTACTGTTTATAGAAGAAATAAGTCAGAGAGACTCATTTGTCTCAAAGGTAAGTTCTCCTGATTCTAGTGAAATAACTGGGTTCTGAGGAATTATATTAGCTAAGAATCTGTGAGTAAGAGCTGTAAAGAAAACAATGCTAAATAATGATTCATCAGCCTGGTAATAAGTAAAAGTTTAGGGAGAAATTTGTCTGAATATTTTGATTCGTCTAGCCTAAATTACTTCAAACAGCAATTAAAAATAAGTTAATGTTTGGTCCCAAATCTTACCTATACTATACCATTACCAAAACAGAATTTGTTTTCATATGTTCCCATAATTACTGTGATATCTCCTCTCCCTCTTGTTCTCCCTTTTCTGTTTTGTAAATGCTAAATGTAGCATGTAGAATGTTTACAGATATTCTGATGCAAATATTATTTGCATTGCTATGTTGCCCGTATGTCCTACTTATGGTCCAAAAGCCCGTTGCATCAATAAATGCTATACAAGCACTTCTTACTGCCCCTTCCAGACTAAACTCTAGGTAAAAATATAGGGCTAATAACTGGATGCAAACAGCTATTTAGAGATATCCTGGAAACAGTGGAACAGTATTGGTCAGCACGACAAGCAATGGTATCTTTGTATATTGCTACAGTTCTGTGATATTAAAAAAAAAAAAGGCAAAAAGCCTATGTTGTCATGCCCACATTATTTTATTATTTTCTAATATAGTCTGATAATATCTCTCTCAACCCGCTGAACTCTCAATTTGAGACACAGTCTAAAGGTACTGAATATGGGAATTGCACATATTACAGATAAAGTAGGAATAATTTCTTCGAGATGATAATTCTGGGTCAAATATATTTGTATTGAGACTTCACTTAGTGTCAGTAGATACACCAGGGTTTTATCAGTCTGTTTTTCTTAGTACTGCCCTCACAATTCAATATCTGGTGTTTGTAATTTACCAAAATTGAGACTACTTGTGAAATAGACGTGTATGTGAAGATAAGAGTCAGTTGTGGCATGTGGTTGGCAATATAGCTGCTGATTTGTCTTAATATTTATTTAAACAGGTTAATGTAGAAACGAATTCTGTTCTCTTACTTTTCTGCTGCATACAGTCTTTTCTATTTACTGGTTTTCTTATTTGTAGCATATACTACTTTTTTTGATCAGTCTACATTTGAATTATGCTAGTTTTTCTTGAGATGGTGCTGGATTGTTGGTGAGGTGTTTAAAAAATTGTGTATATATATATATATATTTTTAAAGTTCTCTTATTCTCTTAGACAACTCTTTTAGTAACAGTTGCATTTTCAGTATTATCAAGTACGACTCTTAGATTTTGATGAGACAATGAAACAGCAGGACAACCAAGAATAGACTTCTTCATTTTTTTCAAAGAGAAGCTGCTGATGTGCAAAAGAGAACTTGTTTATTTATCTCTATGTCCATTTGTTAGGGGAAGTAGACCAACAACATAAAAAAGTGGCAATGAAAGGATTTAGAATAAAATTTTGTTCCTAGAATGATATATAATCTAAGACTTAAAGAGCTACTTATAGCAAGCATTTGCATGTTTACCACTCTCGTGCATGGTAGCATATTGTGCTAATTGCATTGGTCATGAAGGAGATGACTAGAGGCGCAGAGGAAGACAAGGGATTTAGTAAGTGATTTTATTACAAAGGTCTCACAGATGTAATATCAAATAAATGAACAATTGCATTCCTTGGGCTGTTCTGAGCAGATGTTCCTGTGCAGGATCTCCTGTAAGTTCCTATTTCAAAGTTTGAAACTGAACATCAGCACTCATTACCTTCAGTTTGTCTGTCAGTAAAGAGTATAGTGCTGTATAACGTTTGCCACGTAGCAGCCATCCATCTAATTAGTGAGCCATATTTGCCAGATACTCCTAGGGAAAATTTGATATGCTGAGATAAAAAGTCCTCTCAATAAGCAAAAGTTTTAATGATGGCTTTTATACCACAAACTGGAGCTTTTTGATGTTTATCGGCAAGTTTCAAAATGTTATTTTAATCACGTGCTGTATTCAAGTAATTGTGATCAGTTTACTGCAACAGTTGTTTCTATTTGTAGAATTATGATAAAATAAGCACAGTCTACTATATAGTTCTGTACATTCAGGTCAAAATATTTTTTAATTTATGAATTAAATTTTAGAAAAGGATTTGCTCCGATGACAGGGAAAAATAACAGCCAACTCCTGATATTGACTCTTACAGAATAGCTGTGGTTTGTGGACCATTGAGTGTTTGTGAGACAACTGCTGAAAACTGATGGAGAGTGGACATGGTGCTGGATTGTTGGTGAGGTGTTTAAAAAATTGTGTATATATATATATATATATTTTTAAAGTTCTCTTATTCTCTTAGACAACTCTTTTAGTAACAGTTGCATTTTCAGTATTATCAAGTACGACTCTTAGATTTTGATGAGACAATGAAACAGCAGGACAACCAAGAATAGACTTCTTCATTTTTTTCAAAGAGAAGCTGCTGATGTGCAAAAGAGAACTTGTTTATTTATCTCTATGTCCATTTGTTAGGGGAAGTAGACCAACAACATAAAAAAGTGGCAATGAAAGGATTTAGAATAAAATTTTGTTCCTAGAATGATATATAATCTAAGACTTAAAGAGCTACTTATAGCAAGCATTTGCATGTTTACCACTCTCGTGCATGGTAGCATATTGTGCTAATTGCATTGGTCATGAAGGAGATGACTAGAGGCGCAGAGGAAGACAAGGGATTTAGTAAGTGATTTTATTACAAAGGTCTCACAGATGTAATATCAAATAAATGAACAATTGCATTCCTTGGGCTGTTCTGAGCAGATGTTCCTGTGCAGGATCTCCTGTAAATTCCTATTTCAAAGTTTGAAACTGAACATCAGCACTCATTACCTTCAGTTTGTCTGTCAGTAAAGAGTATAGTGCTGTATAACGTTTGCCACGTAGCAGCCATCCATCTAATTAGTGAGCCATATTTGCCAGATACTCCTAGGGAAAATTTGATATGCTGAGATAAAAAGTCCTCTCAATAAGCAAAAGTTTTAATGATGGCTTTTATACCACAAACTGGAGCTTTTTGATGTTTATCGGCAAGTTTCAAAATGTTATTTTAATCACGTGCTGTATTCAAGTAATTGTGATCAGTTTACTGCAACAGTTGTTTCTATTTGTAGAATTATGATAAAATAAGCACAGTCTACTATATAGTTCTGTACATTCAGGTCAAAATATTTTTTAATTTATGAATTAAATTTTAGAAAAGGATTTGCTCCGATGACAGGGAAAAATAACAGCCAACTCCTGATATTGACTCTTACAGAATAGCTGTGGTTTGTGGACCATTGAGTGTTTGTGAGACAACTGCTGAAAACTGATGGAGAGTGGACCAGTGTTCATTCTGCATTTTCTTTTACGTCTTCCCTGTCATACTGGTCTCACCCATCTATTTTGTGCGAGCTGTTGGGAATGGGGCAGAAGAGCGAACCTCCCTGCCCCTAGAGGCAAATGCTGCTTGGGAGGAATTGCTCTTCGGAAGAAAGTGGAATTGCTGTTACCAGCCACCATCCAAGCCTTTCCCGCTCAGAGGACTGTATGGCTTTTGCATGCAGATGGGTGGAAAGGAGCAGTGTAACATATAGCATGCGTAATGTGGGAGAAGAGGACCAAGCAGAAAGTGTAGGGACACAGAGTAACTGAACAGATAGAAGCAGGAATGTAATTGGGAACAAAAGGAGGCACGAGCATCATTTTGAAGGGGAATAATCAGGACCCTGAAAAGAACAAAAATAGGTGGCAGTGTAGGGTTAACTGGATCTTAATTTCTGTGAGTGGTCTCTTAGAGAGCCTCCTCACCTGAGTGCTAGGTGTGGATACAGAATGGACACAGTTAGTGGGGGGAAAAGCTGTAGAGAATGAATGGGAAGGGAAAGGAGGACATGCATAGTCTTTTATGCATCACCTTTGTTGTTTACATTCAAAAGGTTTGTGAACTGATAATGGTCCAAGAATCAGTCTCATCTATACCTACCCACTAACCTCCATTCATACTTGAAAAATCAGAAGATCTTGAAACAGGCAGTGAACCTGTGTTACTAGAGTGACAAGTCATGTCTTCGGTAACCCACATTTTGTTCAAAACATATTTAATTCTTTTGCACAGAAAGCACTCTGACAAGTGTGCTTGTCAGAGGCAAGAGCACAATCTGACCACATTCATGAGTTAGAATAGCACTCAGAGGAACAATGACTTTTTGTTTAATTCTCAGACCTCTTGGTAAGGACTGTAAAGACTAAAGGATAGAGCAGCACAGTAAATAAGTGGTTAAACACAGTAGTGGGTAACAGAAGTGTTGGAAAATAGGTCTATTGTAATGGAATAGCTCTTGATTCAGCAAGCTGCTTGATGACGATCCTAAACCATTTTCTGAACAGGGCCAGACAGGGAAAGAACAACACTGAATTCTTCTATTAAAGGTTTCAGTGAGCACCAGAATTTGTAAACAATAAGTGTTCAGCTTCATATTATTAGGTGTTTGTAGTCTATTCAGTTATGCATAAGATACAAAATGTCATATAGTATTGATGCATTTGCAGTTTTAAAATAACATTAGTATATAATACCATGAAATTATATTCATTGAGTAGAGAATATAAGTATTGAAATCTGCAAATGAGTTAAATGTCAAGTTTCTGTCCTGTAACATACTTCATGATGTATGCGTAAGTAATTTGGATAGGGATGGAAACTAACACGAATCCCTTGTTGCATAAAAATAGAATAAGTTCTGGCTAAATATGCTATTCAATTAGGAAAGTAATAACATTTGTACATATATAGTGGATAGAGAATGGCTTAAAAATATGCATGAATGATGAATTGTAATATCTATTTTTTTAAATTTATCTTAATATTTGATGACTTGCATCAAACCAGGTCTTTAAATATGATAGTTAAAATGAAGCTGTAAAAGCACTGAACCTCATTCAGTACTCCACAACTACTCTGTAGCTATTGTGGTTTACAACAGAGTGTTTATTGAGTAGTTGGCTAAACAATTTCGTGACAGTGTATCTATTATACCAGTAGGTCTTGGCTACAGTCCTAGTCTTACAGATGAGGTTTGCAGTTCTGTTATTTCTGTTAGCATCTGAGCCGCTTAAAGAAAAAGTGGCTTACTGCTGCAGGAGGAGTATCGTGTAGGCTCACAGTAGGAATAAAACATTTGAAATAATATTTTCTTTTTTACATTTAAGTTATCCTGATACTATTAGTTTCCATTAATAGAGTGGAAGTGTACCTATACCTGCAATTAATTAAAAGCTGTTAAAATTCATCATAGTGGTATTTTTTGAAATCAGAATTTGGGCAACTTGCTAAGTCGGGCCATTTTTTTTTTCAACTTTCAGTCACCTTCTGTTGGTCTGTGGATATTTATATTTTAGATATGTCCACACTGCATGTTAAAATAGTGTCAAGTTACCCAAACTAACTTCATATGAGCTATTCTCAGTGCCTGAAACAAGCTATCTGCATCCGCATTGAACTCAGTGAGGACTCCTTTATCTTGCTGTGAACTATGGGATACTAGTCTATATATTACCACCAAATCCACAGTGCCTCTGTATCTTGGCTGCTACTAGTATTCAGGCTAACTTGTTTAAAGCTAACTCGAGTGTATCTAGTCAGTACTGCAGTCAGCTGCGGGTATGTGCAGAGGTACAGCTTGCTGCTGCTTTGGGAGATGGAAACGTCTACTAGCAGTAGTCATTAAATTTTTTGGTGTACTTCCTCTTTTCTTCCTCTTTCCTGCATTCAGGCAATATAGCTACAAAATCAGGTGTGCTCACCACCTCAGCTGCCCCCAGCTATTAAAGCAGGGAGATCAGGACCTTGCTGCATCCTTCAATGAAGTTCAGGTTAAGAAGTTGTTCCCTAAAATGCCTTAGCCTTATTTTTTTTGTTTAGTTAGTACTTCCAAAGTTCTTTACTTGTCTCATCTTGCACTTCCTTACTGTCTTTTGACTAAATAAGATGTTCAAAGAATCTTAATTGCAGTATGTTGGTACCAAGCATCAATCCAAACTGAAGTGTTTTGCTCTACTTTGGAGGTGCATGTGCAGTCACTTGGCCTGTGTCAAGGTCAATTTGCTACATTTCCTTACTTCTGAAATACCTTTGAAGACCGGAAAGAAACAAAAACACTTTCTTGAATTCACTTCATTTTAAATTCAGTTCTTGTTATTAATATTTTTTGTACCCATGAAGAAACTCCAGATATCCTAGGTCCTTTTATTTTGGTTGATCCCCATTTACATTTAATCTTTGTTTGCCAGAGACTTTAATTTGGCTTTTGGGTCTTTCTGACCCAAAAGGTCTTTAAGATTTGTAAAATTTATGTATATAAATGTGCGCTCTCTCGTGCTCTCTCTCTCTCTTTTTTTTCCCCCCTCTAACTAACATGTAATATATTAAGCATCAAAAGGTTTGCTTTGTGTACAGTTGATC